ATATATATATATATATATATATTTTATTTTATTTTTAAATGTAAGATTTTTTTCTAAATTTTGGCTTTAGATCGCCCTTTTTATTGAGCAACCCTGGCAATAGATTAAGAGTAGAATTAAGAAGTAAAATTGTCAAAGCAATTCAAATCAAAGAATGTAACTTGTTGTTTAAGATTCTTAGTTATTATATTGGAAAGAAAATAAGAGTTGGTTTGTCCTCCATAATAATCAGCACAAGGACAAACAACCATACTTATTCAAGAAATCTTATAAATTTTGGTGACTTTTAAATAAAGAGAAAGTAATTCTTTTGAAAGTTTTGTCGACAAGAAAATTAAGACAAGGAACGTAAAGTTCGTATCGTAAGCTCCAGTAAACAGACAACATATGTTATGCGGATGACGAATCTGAATCAAGATCTTTTATTTACGAGTCAGAGTCAATATAACACAATGTTGCATATTTTATGTTTCGATTCAGGCCCTTGGATGTGAATTGCTTTGAGATAAAATCGGGCTTAAGTTCACATTGAATTGGGCTACAAATGGGCTTTAGAAGCTCATATATATTGGACAATTAATCTCCCAATATAAATGTTTGTAAGGACATGTGCACAACTAACTTCTTCTTTTTTGTGGTCATTAATTTTTATCTCTCAGTTTTGTCATCTCTAATATAGTAAAAGTTGTATCAACTTTTTAAAATATAAAATTCTAAAACGGAATTTTGTTCCAAGGTACAAGTTATTCCCTAAAAACACAAGTTCAATTTAAAAACATCATGTCTAAGAAGTTCATACACTGAAATATGCTTTGGACATAATTAAGGTCAACCCGTGCCTTATAGAGCATAACATATGCCTAGCATTTTATTGTTTTTTTCTAATATTAAAGGTAAAAGTTGTTTTGTGAATTAGATAGCTCTAAATACGTTTCAAAGCAAACATTCTCCAAAAAAAAAAAAAACACCTAGCGAAATTAAGTAATAATTAAGAATACTTTTGATAACAAATTTTAATTAAATGAATAGTACAAATAAAAATTAAAGACCACTATATACAACAAAGATTACTTAATCAACCTAGGGTAATCGTGAAATTTAGGATTAATTAGCTTGTTAATTAAGAGACCTTTTAAACACATTAATTTGATCATAAGAAAGCCATCTTATTCTTCTAGAACCTTGATTTATCCATCACTTTTCTGTTAAAGCTACACTTCTTTTTTCCCTTCTTAATAAATTATTTATTAGCCTATCATGTGTATGACTTAAAATTCATGAACTGAATTGGATTCTTAATCCGAAAGAACACGTTTAGCGGGCCCTATAGGCCCATTTCAGAAGAAACTCTCCCTCTCAAAACACACATTATTGTTCATGTTAGTTTTTTCACATGATCAAATTATGCATATACCCTTCCGTAACCCATTCCCAGTAGA